TCAAGATGTCCACATTTTGCTCATTTCCAGGAACTTGTTCGACATCTATCAGCCCTTCTTCGACACACTCTCTTATGAAATGGTACTTTGTGTGTATGTGTTTACTCCTGCCGTGAAACACATGATTTTTAGTAAGAGCAATAGCCGACTTATTGTCGATCCAAATGGTGACCTTGTCGCATGGTAATCCAGTAACTTTGCTAAGCAGGTCCTTGAGCCAGATTGCTTGTCTTGCAGCCTCCGTACCTGCCATGAACTCAGCCTCACACGAAGACAGCGCCGGCATCTCTTGCTTCTGTGAACACCGAGTAATTGGGCTTCCTCCCAGATAGAAAACGTGACCAGTTGTACTCTTTCCATCATTCGGGTCAACGTTATGGTTACTGTCGCTGTAACCTATTAGTTTCGGTATCTTCGTGTGTGATCGATCGAACCTTAACCCAAGCGTGGTCGTACCTCATAAGTATCTCAAACATTGTTTCATTGCAACTCCATGAGATTCTTTTGGATTCTGCATATAGCGATTGAGTACTCCCACACAATAGTTTAAATCTGACCTTGTATAAAGTAAATATCGAAGACAGCCAACATTTTTCCGATACGTCGTAGCGTCAACATCTTTCTCTTCTGCGGATTTTGAGAGCTTCAGTCAGGACTCCATTGGCGTGTGAACTAAGTTGCATTTTGCCATTCCTGCTTCTTCCAAGATTTTTAAAGCATAGCGTTCTTGTTTCAGCATTATTCCTCCTTCGTATTGGCAGACCTCGATTCCAAGATAATATGTCAACAAGCCAAGGTTACTCATCTCGAATTTTGAAGCCATCTCGGTTTTAAACTTGTCGATGACCTCTTTGTTTGAGCCTGTTACAAACAAGTCATCAACATATACTGCTATGACGAGAAGGCTTTCGGCTACTGTCTTTCGGTAAACCGATGGTTCTTTCGAGCACCTTTTGAATTTGAGTTCAGTGAGGATTTGATTCAGCTTGTTGTTTCATACCCGAGGTGCTTGTCGTAGACCATATAAAGCTTTATTTAGCTTGTACACCTTATGCTCACTTCCCTTATCCTCGAATCCCTCCGGTTGTGTTACGTACACAGTTTCTTTCAACTCTCCATGGAGAAAAGCTGTTTTTACATCGAGATGATGTATCTCCCATCCGTTTGTTGCTGCAAGATTAATAAGAAGCCGTATAATTTTGATCCGGGCTACTCGTGCAAACACCTCATCAAAGTCGACACCATAGCGTTGAACGTATCCCTTTGCCACTAGTCGAGCTTTGTGCTTGTTAACACTTTCATATGAGTCACGTTTGAGTTTAAAGACCCACTTCAAACCTATTGGTTTTGCTCCATGTGGTAGATCGACAAGATTCAAGGTGTTATTTTCTTTATAGATGTGATTTCGTCCTCACAAGCATGTATCCACTCCTTCGATTACATGGCTTCGTAAAAATCGTATGGCTCGTTGTTTATACACAGCAGCAGCTTTTCTCCCTCTTCTTCTGCGACTTCTTCCACGATCATCACATAGTCTTTATGCCATGCGGGTTTTTATCTCTCTCTTTGTGTTCTTCTTAGCTCAGGTTAAAACATCTCTTCAACCTCTGTTTCCTTTGTTTCGCCATGCGCCCCTGCATCCTCTGTTGTTACATCACGAAAACAGAGCGATGGATCCTCTGCTTCGCGCATTGTTCTCGGTCTGTTTTCTCCGGACTCGTTGACTCCGGCGTGATCGTGGTGATGATCATCATGGGTAGCTTCTTCTACTTCACAACTTTCTCTTATCTTTTGTATTCTGCGATTGCCAAACTCCATGAATTCCACGACAAAACTTCCATCATGGTCCTGCGTTGAGCTGTTCTGATTTCAATTCCAGCCCTTTGTTTCATCAAATACGACATCTCGACTCACGATTATTTTCATTCTTTGTGGATCAAGCAAGCGATATGCCTTCGACCCCGGTTCTGTGCCTAAGTGAACGAGCATTCTTGACCTATCATCGAGCTTTCTTAGCTGTGGTTTTTTAATCTTTGCATAGCCAATGCATCCGAAGACCCAAAGGTGTCCAATGTTTGGCTTCTTGTCGTGAAAGCCTTCATATGGGGTTGTATCCTTTAGTGCTCTTGTGGCTATACGATTCAAGAGATAGGTCGAGTTTCTCGTTGCTTCTCCCCAAAGATAGTTCGGAACATGCATATGCTTCATGATGCTCCTCGTCATCTCCATTAGAGTTCTGTTTCGGCGCTCAACAACTCTGTTTTGTTGAGGGGTATACGGAGCCGTAAGGTGACGTTTTATACCATTGTTGTCGCAGAACAAGTTGAATTCTTCTGATACGGATTCTCCTCCTCTATCGGTTCTGAACATCTTTATGGTTTCACCAGAGTCTTGTATTACTAAACACTTAAACTTCTTGAATTTGCTAAATGTGTCACTCTTTTCTTTCAGCAGTATCGTCTACATGTATCGCGAGTAGTCATCTATGAGGACGAAGATGTATCTTTTTCCAGCGTGGGTGCTTGGTGTTATCGGTCCACAAAGATCTCTATGAACGAGTTCGAGTTTCTTACTAGCACGATATAAAGTTTCTTGGGGAAAGACCTGTGTTATCTGTTTCCCGAGTAGACATGATCGGCACACCTTCTTCTCGACACTGATATTGGAAATTCCTTGAACAAGCTCCCGTTGTACCTAGATTTCATTGGCTCAAAGTTTATGTGACCTAACCTTGCGTGCCACTTATTAGACTCACTTGTTGTTGTTAAGTGTAGGTTCGCGGTGTCTCTGATTCCCATACACACCTTGTATAGCCGATTTTTTTACCGCTTCGAGATTACCAATAGCTTTCTGTTGTGATCGTACATTATTAGGCATTCTCCCATCATTCGAACATCACATCCTGATTATGATGCTTGTCCAAGGCTGATAATGTTACTCTTCAAGTCTGGTATGAAGTAGACATAACTCTTGGTTCTCCCTTCATATCAATGAATGATATCGAGCCCTTTCCTTTTATATCAATACATGAATCATCCCTGAACCTCACTTTCCCGGTTACAGAATGATCGATTTTGGAGAAGTATCTGATGTCTCTCTTCATGTGATTACTAGCCCCATTGTCAAGGTACCAAATATTCTCCTCTCTGGTATTTGTCTCGTATTTGCTTGGTATGCACTTCTTCTCGTTTAAGTAGACTACTTCGTGCATCATGAGTTCATCGGTATTCTCTGTGTCATCGTTATCAGCGTCTTCTTGTGTTTCCTGCAGTTTAAGTAGTCGATCCGGACAGGCAAAGGCGTAATGGCCGTACTTATCACACCGGTAACATAGTATTTTTGAGTGATCTCTTCCACCATTAGTCCGTCCACGACCCCTTCCTCTGTATCGTCCTCCTCGTCCTCTGCCCCTTTGATCTCCACTGCCATCGCGACCTGATTGGTTTGATTGTGTTTCGGAGTTGGCGTACATAAGTTTACTCTGTTCCTCTTGTGTGTCTTCTTCTTCATATATGCGTTCCTCGTACGCTTTCAAACGCCTGGCTATGTCTTTGAAGCTTGTAATGTTTAGGTCTAACACTTGCTTCAGAGATGCAATGATGTGAATATATTTTCCTCGAGGGAGGCTTGTAAGAAACTTTTTCACAAGTTTCGATTCTTCAATAGTGCTTCCTAAGGTAGCTGATTTCGATGATATCTCAGATAGCATCCCGGAGAAGTCATCAATCTTCTCGGTGTTCTTCATCTTAAACCGATCAAACTCGGCTAGTAAGGTTTGTAATCTCGCTTCTTTTACTCTCTCCGCTCCTACATGTCTTGTTTTAATCGCCTCTCACACCTTCTGTGCTGTTTCGAGTTCTCCAACCTGGAGTACAAGCGCTTCTGGTATTGACTGGAACAGTAACACTATTGCCAAGTTGTTCTTCTCGTTATCCTGCGGATTTGTTTCTGGTTCGATTGCTTCCCACACTTTGTGGACCTTGAGTGTGATCTTCATCCTCATGGCTCATACGGTGTAGTTTGTTGCGTTGAGCATAGGACATGTAATTGAGGATGAACCTCCTCCTTCTTTTGGTCTCGCCGTCGTCGCGACAAGATCTCCTATAATTTCGCAAACTTAATGAGCTCTGAAGCTCTGATACAAATTATAGAGATCAAAAATGATATAAAGAATAATTCTCTTTATTACTTAAGAAAAATAACTCAAAAACTTAAGCTTTTGCAATCTTAAATCTCACAAGTTATGCTACACATTGGCATCTCCTTATATAGAGAGATTAAGACCAAAACCAAACTCTATTAAGAATCCAACTTATGTTTAGATAACTCCTAAATATATATTCCTAATCTCTAATAATTTATGTTATAAACTTTCTTCAAACTTAATCCAACAGATTATACCAGTATTAAATAGTATAAGGAGTCCACATTAAATTCAGTTACAAGACTAGTTTCGATCTAATTACTTTCGAATGCAGGGGTAAATCTAAATTATTATAGATTTACAACCTAAAATCAGCTGACAATGAGTCAATTCGATCTAATTTTTCATACTTTATGTCAACAAAATTTCTAATGATATTTTCTTGTTTATCATTTATCGCATACCGAATCTCAATTACAATAAAAAAATAGTTTTTATTGGCTAATCTCTTAGATGCATGGATAAATTCCATTTGACGTTATAATACTATTTCTGGTGTATACTTTTTCACACGTGCTATTTTTCTATGTACAATTATGGTCCTTTTATAAAAGTCAACCTTTGACTTTTCTAGATATTACCCGCCATCCAGCCGACCAATCCTACGTGGCAGTCCTTACCTCCACCCGCAACCGAACCGAACCAAACCACCAAATCCTCTCTCTTCCTCTTCTCTTGTACAACAGAAAAGTCACATTTCTTTCTCTCATCTTCTTCTTCTTCCCCCTTTCTCCTCTTTTTAATCCCGGTTGCTGAATCCGATCCCACCCAGAAAGACAATTCATTAAGAGAAGCGATGCCGTATTGCGAGGTCGTGAACGAACAAGCCGACGTAGAAACGACGCTTAACAATGCCGTCGTCAAAATCTTCTACAGAACGTACGGTCATGGTCCTACCAAAGCTCTTCTCATCATAGGTCTCTCTCTCTCGATATTTCTATTTTCCTCTATTGATTTCAATTGGGTTTTCGATTTAATGCTCATACGTTTCCTCAATTTCTCTTTTTGTTTGCTCAGGTTTAGCCGGAACCCATGATTCCTGGGGACCTCAAATCAAGGGACTTACGGGGACGGATAAACCCAACGACGACGACGGAATCGCCTCCGATGATTCAGAAATCGGCGAAGGCATCGAGGTCTGCGCTTTCGACAACCGTGGCATGGGTCGGAGCTCCGTGCCTACCCACAAATCCGAGTACACGTGGGTCTTAACAGTGAAGAACCTAATTCTCTGTGTTTTGTGGCCGCTCTTCAATTGTGAAATTAGTTTTAATTAGCTTCACTCAAATTTTGGTTTTGGGTTTTGGCGCAGAACAACGATAATGGCAAAGGATTCGATTAGCTTGTTGGATCATTTAGGATGGGAGAGAGCTCACATAATTGGTCATTCTATGGGTAACTGATTAAATTCGAGTGACTTTTGATTGTTTCTTGTAAAAACAGTACTTTAAACAAGTCTGATTTCGTCCTCCTTATTGTTGTTTTTGATTAAACAGGAGCAATGATAGCTTGCAAGTTAGCTGCAATGGTGCCAAAACGGGTTATTTCTCTGGCGTTGCTTAATGTTACAGGTGGAGGTTTTGAGTGTTTCCCCAAGGTACTTGAATGAAACACCACTCAAGACAGATATTTTCTTGAATCTTCTTCTTTTGATGGCAATGACTTGGTTTTTTCATACGTGTTGAGTGAGTCTGTTGGTTTCTTGTATAAAGACAACTATTTGTGTTTTTTTGTCATGAGATGTCGACAGAAAATGTTTCACTTGGATACAAAGCAACAAAGAAGAAAAAACTAGAGATCCGATTTTAGCGTTTTTCGTTTTTTTTTGTTTATGTGTTTCAGCTTGACCGGTTAACGCTTTCCATTGCGGTACGCTTTTGGATGGCAAAGACTCCTAAACAAAGGGCAAAAGTTGATCTGGACACACATTATTCACAGGTGGGGGTTTTCGCTGTGTTCTTTGATGAGCTGCGATTCTAAGAACTAATTTGACATGGAACAATTGTTAGTAGATTGGTGTATGAGATTTGGGAAATGACATTGTCTTGTTGAAGGAATGTTTTATTGTTCTTTCAAAAGTTCTGTGAATTGGTTGAGAGATGGAATCATATTGGTCTTGGAGAATTATGTTTGTACAGTAGTTAGGTAACAAAATTGTAAGAGTGATGTATTATTACTGTGAAGAGAAAACTCTTGAGCGATTATGTTCTGAATGATGTTAATATATGCAGGATTACCTAGAAGAACGCATAGGAACTGACAAAAGACGGGATGTCTTATATCAGGTGGGCATATACTGGTTTTATGTGGAGATGATAACATTATTATGATATGATCTAAGGGAACTAATATTTGGGAGATGCAATGCAGCAATATGTAAAAGGAATATCAGAAACTGGGATGCAGTCCAAACACGGGTTTGATGGCCAGCTTAATGCTTGTTGGTTACACAAAATCACAAAACCAGAGATCGAACAGATCCGCTCTGGTGGATTTCTTGTCTCAGTCATTCACGGAAGGTATGCGACACCGATAGAATCAGAATCATCTTGTGCAGTCAGTCTTGAGCTTGTTGATATAGTAAAGAATCTTTACCTTTAACCAAATACTTAATTTGAGTTTTGGTTGGAGTATATGCAGACATGATGTCATTGCTCAGATATGTTACGCAAGAAGACTGGCACAGAGGCTATATCCTGTCGCTAGAATGGTGGATCTTCATGGAGGCCATCTTGTAAGCCACGAGAGAACAGAAGAGGTACTTCTGTCTTATTTCGTCATGTCTTAAAGTCTCTGTCTCTATTTACGTCTCTAAAGAGTCTTTTGTCGCTCTTTAATCTCCTCTAATCTACAGTAAATGTTAGTGGAGATCATACTCGGATTATCGTAACTTCAGAAAAGACCTAAAACCGAAATAGAATCAGATTACTGTGAAAATAAAAATAAGTTACTATGCACTTGATTAACTGGTTTAATCGTGTATAGAGAAAGATTTAAAGGCTCTTGACTGCTGTAGTTAGTGATCGACCATTGTAGAAAGACTTACCAGGCTCTTGAGTTCTTGTAGTGAATAGCATTGCTATAATATGGAATCTCTGAACAACATCCCACTTTCTGATCAACACTATAGTTTCCTCAGAACCTGGAAAAAAAAGATTAACATACCACTTTCTGATCAATTTTCAGGTTAATAAAGCTCTTCTCGACTTAATTAAGGCGTCAGAAATGAAGAAAACACCAACTGATTGGACTAACCTCACCATGGAAGATCCAGGTATAGAAAACACACAATTTCCATTGTTGTCAGACCATTCTTCAAAGGTTGTTCTGAGACTAATATTGCATGATTTGCTCGCTCTGTTTCGTTTTCTCTCAGGTTATTTGGAGAGGAGAATAGCATTCATTAGAACCTCGTCAGAAGGCAAGAACGCAGTCTCACCTTCATATTTCATTGTGGATAAGTTCCATCGCTGTCTACTTTTCCTCTTTGGGCTTCTGGTTTTGGCGTTCGAGTATGCAAGAAGAGCCTTCAGGGTCGTTAAACCTGTCAAAGTTGGGCCTTCTCTTACATAACAACACAACCCGCCTCACGTTATAATTCGTCGATCAAGTAAGCTCCTCATTGCTTAACTATGTCAAGATACACTTTATATATTGCGTCTTAAAGCTTATCGACAGAGTTTTCATACAGACAACTATATTGCAGTTCTTCAATGATCAAGCTGATGATACGTACATTGCAAACAGAAGCTAGAGAAGGAGATGCTGCTTTGTACATGGAAGAGAGATTACGAACTGTTAAATATACACACCTGTAAAAAGAGGATCATTACTTAATGACCAACATTTGTTCTACTACGTACCTTTTATCAATAGATACCTATTTATATAAATCTCAATATAACTGTTTCTTAAGTTTCTGCATAAAATTATGAATCACTAGGCTAATATTTATCTCTATAAAAGGATTAAACAATTCAGTGCAAACTGTGCAATAGAAATCTTGGGTTTCAATTAAAACATTTTTCATATATATCAAAGACATATGAAGGTTAACTTCTAATTACGAAACAATCCTTATTATAAGACCATGAACATAAACGAGTCAATTATGAAACAGCGACAAAGAAACAAACACAAAGATAAGAAGAGATGGATGAAGACATGCCTGGTACTGTGCTTCTGTCTGAACCCAAAGCTTCAAGTTTTTTTTTGTTTTTTGGTGAATGATGTTGCGTAGCTGAATTGTTTAATCTGCAGAACCACAGAAGAGAGAAGAGAGAAGAGAGAAGAGAGAGATGGAGAAGGAAGAGGTAGCAAATTGAGTAGACGAGAGATTCTTGTTTGAGTTCAAAGTAATATTCCTTCATGCAGAAGATATACTCCTCGAATATACCCTTCGTATGAGCATTGTTTACGGAAAAGGGCATTTTCGCCAATTGTTACCAATCTTGGGCCGAGAAACAATGAAGCCCATTTTGTAGCCCACTCAAACTCTGCTTCTATGGTTTTTTTCCCCTGCTCATCGGAAGGAAAATTTTGTTAACCTTTGAGGCCGAAACCTCCATTCACGAAGGAAAGAAGCAGCAAAAAATGGCTGCGACTGTTCCTGCGATTGTTCCATCTAACCAAACTTGGGATTTCAGCTGGTATGTTCAGTAAATTCTTTATCTTTCTGCTTCTGAATCATTTTCTCTGATTTGAGAGATTTTGATTCAATGCTTCTCCCTTATTGATTCGGCTCTTAGCTTTCAGCGATTTGTAACGTGTTTGTTCTGTATCTGATGATATAACATACGGATTGCATTCGATTATAGAAATCTTGGGTCTGACACATTTTGAAGATACACTCTCAAAGTTTCAATCTTTATCCCCATAGTGCTTGGCTTAGGGTTTTTTTTTTTTTTAATTTGAGGAGGATTACACACTGTTCTAGACTTGATTTTATTTTGGTTTTTTTTTCAATATGATTTATTTTGGACACAACACACAAGTTAGGATCTTTGATGTAACAGAGTTTTGTTTTTGTTCCAATTTGCAGTAACTTGGATGTGAATTTCGAATCGGAAGAACATGCTTTGATTGTTTACACAACATTGGCAGTTGATAAAGAGGTTTGAAATTTCCAAACGAATCAAAAGCTATATGCTTTTTTCCGATTTCACTCAAGTTAGAACTTCTTCTGTTGTGGCCATTGATGCAGTTGCAGCCTGATAAAGTGAGAAGAGTTATGTCTGTATCAAACAACAAGCTTTCTGTGTGAGTTTCTCAGATCCTTCATCGCCTTATTTGATCCATGGAACCTTTGATTTAGCTGACTTCTTTACTAGTTTTTTTAATATTGTCTCACTGGATAAATTCACAGGCACTTTGAAGCAATAGAGGCAAGGCTTCTTCGAGCATCCTTCTCTGCGTTTGTAGACGTTCTTACATTGGCCACAAGAACAATTCAAGAATTTGGGGCGAAACTAAACACACCAATGTGAACCAGAAATAGAAGAAGAAGTTTGATTCTTTCTCATTTCCCTTCAAGTAGTCAAACTGTTGTATGATTATGTTGTGACTGAATCCGAGAAGTGAAGAAATGTGATCACATTTAAAGCTTTTGATTTGACTACCTTTTTTTTTCTCTTGTTTATTTTCATTTACAAAGTGAATTATAATCATCATGATTCATAATGCATCATCTCATACGAAAACATAAAAACTCCATTCATTTAATTCCGATTATGAGTTTTCAGCAATTTAGATCTGATCTGCTTTCATGCATTGACTTTGACTAGAGGACGAAGAAGAATAGTAATCCTCATGATAATTAAAGAAGCAACTAACCCACAATTCAGCCCCCATGATCATACAATTAATTTAAATCACACGGTTATCTTTTTCAACTAATTAAGATTAACAATTAATGATTACACCCTTTGGAACTTGTAACTCCCATTACATTGCACACAATTCCCTATCAATATTAACTTTTTATTACATAGACTATATATGCGTTCGCCAACACAATCCTCTGTTTCTTATTATAACTATTTTCTGCTCTGTTTTATCTATCACTGCTTCTTCAACAAATGGATCATAACTCTGTTTTCCCACTCGATTCTCTGAAAGTCGAAAACGAGTATGATCCAGATTCGTTCTACGCCATGCTCAACCAGTAAGTTAAAAAAAACCTTGAATCGTTTTCTTGGTAAACAAGTCATCTTTGGTTTCCTTTTGTTAATCGTTTTCTGTCTACAGGTTGCCTCCGCTGGAGTCTCTGCTAGATACCGAAGATCTGAAAGCAGATGAAGGATTGCATTTTGAGTTTCAGTACCATTGCTTTGAAGATTTCTTCGAAAACATGGAAGTGAATAACACATTGTCATCTGATATTCTCATGTTGACTCAAGAACCCTACTTCTCGAGTGACTCCTCTTCACCAGTGGCTGTCCAAAACAGCGATTTTCTCGGTTCCAACGAGACGTGCCAAAAGAGAACACCGAAGAAGAGGAACACTCGTCGGACAAAGAGACAGGAGAAGTTGGAGATGTCCGAGATCAGAAAGTTCTTCGATAGACCAATCATGAAAGCGGCTAAAGAGCTCAACGTTGGACTTACCGTGCTGAAGAAGCGTTGCAGGGAGCTTGGAATTTACAGGTGGCCTCACCGGAAGCTCAAGAGTCTCAACTCTCTAATTAAGAATCTAAAGGTGCGAAATGTCATTCATTTATTAATTACGTTTGGTTTTGATTCAATGGCGTTTTAGGGTTTATTGTTTTATTGATTTTGAAAGTTTAAGAAGATCATATCTATACATGGTTTGGTGACAGGGTGTTGGAATGGAGGAGGAAGTGAAGAACTTGGAAGAGCATAGGGTTCTTATAGAGCAAGAACCTGATGCTGAGCTAACTGATGGAACAAAGAAGCTGAGACAAGCTTGTTTCAAAGCTAATTACAAGAAAAGGAAATCACTAGCCAATGATGATTACTATTAACCTTATTTTAAGTTTAGTGTTTAATCTCCACAATTCTAGTTCATGTTTTCATTTTAATAGACTGATGTTTCTTTTTTTTCTAGTGACCCAATTGGTCAAATCTAGAATATCTAGGGATTATCTTTTGTTTAAGGTCAGAAGAATGACTAGGAAATGATTAATCTTTTGTTTTTTTCAGAGCCTTTTATATGATGAAATTAAAGAGGAATGCATTTATCAATCAAAATTTCGATGAATGAAATTAGGGTTGGGGAGTTTAATAACTAATAATTATAAATTGCAAACAATGAAATTTATAAATGCACTAGTATAATTTGATTGTATAGAATTGTGTGGTCTATAATTAAACTGACATTTCTGAACGACTTTGACAAAAAAATTACACAAACTTGCAAAAGTCTATTATAGACAATTATGGGATATAAAAACCTATGAAACTCCTTTTCACCTTTTTGTGGGGGTGAAATAATGTTCTTCTCACATGAAAATCCCCATTTTATTAGATACTTTGGTGAATTTTCTATTACCTTTTTAATATGAATTATATTTAACGTACTACATTAGTTTATTTTCAAAGTATTTCTATCATTAAATAATTAATTAGAAATTAGAGTATATCCAATAATTTATAACAAAATACATCATATGAAAAGAAACGTAAGGAAGATAAAAAGGTGAAATCCCTATTTTTCATTGTATATAATCTGTAATATAAGTTGTTTCCCTGACAGATTGTATATAAATAAAGTATAAACAAGAGACGACTAATTATTTAAGGACATCAACTATAGAATTAGTAGTCATTTTAAGAAATATTCGATTTAAATAGTGGAAGAATTCATCCTTTACAGATTCTCTTGCTTACTTCTCCATGGAATCACTTGCTTAAACCCTTCGTAAACCCTTGCCTGCATTTTTAAATATCGAATAATTGGGTTACAAATTTCTTCCTCCACATACCCAAAAAGTACATTTTTTTTTTTTTTTAAAATAACTTTTCAGATTTTAAACAGTGAAATTTTTGCCTTAAGTTGTTGTGGGGGAAATTTGACATTTCGACGAAAAGTTAATTTTTATAATTCGTAAATTACTAAATACCAGAAATTGAGAAATTGGTCGAGAGTAATTTAATATACTTAATTCAACTATATAAGAAAGTGGAAAAGGTTTAAATTTTGGGAAAAAGTATTTAACTTTTGATTTTCTTATTCAGCTGAAAAAAACTTACCCAGAAATCTGACTTTGTTGTATGAGAGAGATTAAAAAGGCTTCCTTTTCTTTTAAGTCTAAAAAGTTTCGCTTTTGTGCCGCCGTCTCCGGCAAAGTCACCTCCACCTCCACCTCCGGCCCAATCCCTCCGGCAATCGCAACCACCGTCTCTGAAACGTGGAAAGTCAAATATACCCTCGGACGTCTCTTTACATGCCCCAAAACTTCCCCATCTACTAGACCCAAATAATCTCTTTTCTTTCTCCGGCGCCGGCGCCGGAACACCTCTCAACTTCCTAATTACAGCCGCCGATCTAGGAAGCGACAGTGAACGACGACGTAAATCGTAAGGACCATCGAGAACAGTGGTCGGAGAAGGCTCGTTCGCCGTCGACGATTTACAAGCTTCTCCGGGCAAAAGCAGCCTCGGAGGAAGGTCCAAGCTTCTCGCGACTCCTTTTTTTTCTCCGGTCTGATTCGATCTCGGCGGTTTCCTAACGGAAGAACGAGGCTTTCCCGGAGCTTCCTCCCATATAAAAGGAACAGATCCTGCCATATTAACCGGCGGTGTAGCTGATCCCGGAGTTTCATATGCTACGTTCATTGGATATGAAAACAGAGGAAGCTTAGGCGTTGAACAGAACCGATCTTGATCATTAGCAAAACCCATTTTCGTTTTGTTTTTAATGTAACCCAAGAATGTTTTTTGACGTTATATGAAATGGGTTTGGATTAAATAGGCGAAAAAGAAAACCTTTTTGGGAATTCGATTCATTTGAACAAGAAAAAGGAAAAGTTAAGGAGGATGAATAGTGGTAGAGAAGACATGAAGGAGAAGAAAAGAAAAACTTAATGAATTGAATTTAAAATTAAAATAAATGAAACGCTCCTCTTTCGTGCTTCTTGTTCACGAGGGATAGCATTTTTGTTAGTTTATTATTGAAAACGACTTGTGAAATTAGTACCTTCGCTATCAACAATTCGTGAATAATAATAAATAATAAATCCCCTAAAATATCTAGTACACTAGTATTAGCTATGCCATTTTCATTAAATTGAAACTAAGAGTAAAATTAATCATTCGGTTTCAAAACGTTACAACACTTGTGGGCATTTCATCATTATGATCATTATACATTCTTTGTTTTAGCCTTTAGGCATTGTACAGCTTTGCGGTAATATGATCACTGTTTTTGAAATTGTAGAAGAAAAACAGAAAATATTATTGGTAAAAAATAATAGAGGTAATCCCGATGGACGTTGACTAGGACGTGTTGATGGACAAACGGTCAATTTGGTTTAGGGTTTGAAAAAGTCAAAGGCAGCTCTTTGTTTGTTCAATCACTCTCTCTCTCTCTCTTTGTCGTTGCATCAGTTATGTTTGTAGCGACTTTTGTGTAGAAATGAGTGCGATGATTAGGAGAATCATGCGAATCTCCTGTCTCTTCGCCTTCTCTTACTTTCATCTTTCATGCACACATGTTCATGTATATTTAAGATATTGAAGCTGTGAGTATGTGTATGTATGTTTGTTGGAATCGATCCAAAACATACCATTCTTATAAATATAAATTAGTATTCATTAGGATTTAGGTCAAACAGCAACATATATTTCAAGAAAAGAAACGACAATAGTTTTCAAGCGTGTGAAATCTCTTCTTGCAAACCGCAAATTTTGAAATATCTTTTTTACAAAAAATTTCAACAAACACAGATAAATAACAACAGATGACAAGCTAAAGTTGTAAACCAAACTAGAGATTAAATCAAATCACAGTTTAAGTGATTGATATATAGTTTTCTTTTAACCCAAACATTCCCTTTATTAGTAATCGAGATTACATGGTAAAAGTAGATATAGAACCATAAATTTAGACTCTACAAATATCATAGTACACAATAAGCTTGAAAAAAATGAATATACACGATGCTTTTTTTTACCATAAGTCTTATTCGTTTATACGTTTCGAGTTTATGTTTCGAGTTTCGGCGGTTCTCTTTAACTAAAAGACGGATAGGTTTGTCTTTTCATAAAACCATGTCAATACCTTTTTTAAGACATAATCTTATTGGAGGTCTAAATTTGCGACAATATCATCGGAATTTGCGATGCTTACGCATTACAATCATGATTTGCAAGCAGTCTAATATAATAGTACTAAATTAGTATTATTATATATGCTTGTGTATATGAATCCGGAAAGTGAAAATGACAGTAGTCTCATGTTTAGTGGGATATCTTTTTTTCCATTTCGCGTTTTATTTGGACACGGGATTATATTTTAGGATTAGGTCTACGTCAAAAAATTTCAATGAAAATCTTTAAAAGAAGCCTGCTGTGAAAATTAGTTAAAACATGTGATTAGGATTAATTCACAAGTATAAATAAAAGTAATAAAAATAATTTCAAACTTTTAAAAAATCATGGTGATTTGTGAACGAGTGACTGATCTTGCAGTCGAAATTTGGAGATCATAGTTTTTGATTTTTTCAACAGCGACTTTAATTTATGATTAACCATTGTGAATGTGTTAAATGAAAAATTATATCATGTTGACTACTGACTAGTACTGAACGAATAACTTATCTTGCCGTTGAAGATTTGGAGACCATAGTTTTAATTTTCCAACTGCGACTTTGATCATGATTGATCATTGTGAATGTGTAAAATGACAAATTATACTTAATGGTCTACATACTCCAAAGATTAGTACTATAAGTTTGTGATTTCCCATTATGAAAAAAATACAAACAAAAGTAAGTCACGTTGGTAAGATCAGATGACGATTGAGGACTGCTATGATTTTAACATGTTAGGCTATGAGAATTGAGTGGCCACTCACATTAGTCAAATGTTACTTTCTCCTCTCAACTTTGATATAAGATAATACTTGATAGAGTATATATGAAATTCTATGCATCCATTAACTAAGAAATAGAAAAAAAAACAGTAAAGGGAATTAGAAAGATAACCGTAGCTATAAGGCCTTTTTATTTTTTTGGCACTTGTGTGCTTTTTAGTTTTTATTCTAAAGCAATTTAATTGCGTGTACGAAACTTGAAGTTTACAAAATTATAATTTGTAAATTGTGGAGAAAATCTTTCTTGCTATCCGAACCAAAAGTACATATTTTAAAAAGTTATTTTGATTTTTCTGATAAATTCGTCGAACATCCAGAGAGACCTAATTTAAAGAAAAGGGTTTTCTCCTTTTCTTATATATAATAATTTCGCCCATAAACATTTGTATATATATACAATCCTCCATGTTAAGTTACGTACCTCAATGTTGTGAGTTCCTAAGAAAATTAATAATAAAAAATCTTGTATCTCAATATTGCTAGGGTAAGAGTTAATTGTAATATAATATATGTTCTTATAAATTTAATATATTATAGAATCTTACTATGTTAAAAAGATAATAACTCAAAACTCCACTACAAAATCAAACATTATTGTAGATTGAATGTTTCGATGCTTTAGCAAATAACAAGAGGCAAAGCAAAAAAACACATGCAGATGCTTTTTACTATATCACTCACAAAAGGGACAGATACATCCAATTTAAGCCCCATCCTTTCCTTAGCAAAAGGGGACAGACGTCTCAAAAGGACGAATCTGATTGTAAACGATGGTAAAAATCACAAAACATCCTTTTGAGTTTTAATAATCTCAGAAGCTAGCTGTTTTTAGTTATGAAGTGATCACATACAATATTTGTGCCTTTCTTATAGGGCCAATGAAAGTTTCGACGCTAGAGAAATGGAGTATCTTCTGCTTTTGTTAGATATTTGGTGAGATTCACATTTTCTTGGAAGTTTTGTTTCATATGGTTTAAAGCTTGTGAAGCAGAGATGGAACCTAAGTGCGTCTGTCTCAATGGTCATTTGAAGACATTTCAGGGGAAAAAGCAGCTTCTTGTTTCTCTGTCAGGTACGTTTATGTTTTATGTTATGACATTAAAATGTTTGTTTTCTTTAGCTTTGGTAATAAATTAGTTAGATAAGCTATGGAGTCATCTTTGAGTTAATTAAGATTGTTTTGGTTTGCAGACCTATTATGGACTTCAATGAGGTTATCTTTCACTATATTGAGTGTATACACTTGTATTACCAGAACTCTGGATCACGGGTAAAAGAAACTGTTACATAGCAAAAAGATGAACTGTGTTGTGTTGTTTACCTTCAGGATTTGAAAGCAATCTGCTTGCACGTGAGTTTGAGTTTGAGTTTGCTTTGCCCATTGCACCACCTGATATGTTAGTCTGATCATTGTTGTTTGTGTTCACTGCAGTGCAAGACAACAGGCGATTATCATTCTGAAACTCACTCTAGCAATTTACTTGCTTAAACTGATTGATATTGAATTTTGATTCCTGGTTTTGTGATTTGAGAGATGTTCTTTGTTTAGTATTTCAATTTCAATCATAGTCCGTATACTCTGTTTTGATCAGATGTGTTGTCCCAAAGCTTTGCAATGAAATTTACAAAAGGGAATTTTTAACAAATGCCAAATTTCATTAAAATCTACTGAATTACAAAACAAAACCGGTAACGAGAGGGATACATAAACCAAATTCCAAACCCTAATTTTCGACTGGATTAACAAAACCATTTATTTTTTAGAACAAAACCAAAACTTGAAACCCTAATTAAGCCTGCGTTAACTTCTCCAACGCTTCACTCGGCTTGTTCGTCGATGGGTTTTGCGATTGGCGACAGAGAGGGCACGAGTCTCTGTCTCGATCCAACCATTCGATGAAACAGCCCTCGTGAAACATATGCGCACAGTCGGGCAACTGACAGAGATTTTCCGACTCGCACATATCTTGGAGACAAATCGCGCAACAACAATCCGATACCACTTTCGCTGTCGTGGAAGGCGTGACGACGACGTACTCTTTGGTAGTCAACTTGACCAGCACCTTCACGAACAAGGGTTCTTGTGCTGCAGACTGCGACTCGTCAACGATCTCCTCAGTTATAAGCCCAGACAAGACACGGTCGTGGAATTGGGCATCGATACATTGACGAACGATGTCCGGTGCGAAGTTTTGGAGGCGGAGGAAGATTTTTTGGTCTTGCGAAGATTCATCTTTGTAAGAACCAAGACTCGTGATACGACCATAGTCGCTCTCGTCTACCGTCAACTACTCGATTTCCCGAAGTAGAGATATATAAACACGGTGCTTAAGAACCCTAATGAAGGACCTTGAGGCGTCGCACTTGCACTGACTTGTACCTTCATCGATTGCTGTGGAAAAAAATAATATGAGAAGTGTCAGTGGAGCGAGATATGTGTATTTATAAGAAAAAAAAATTAGGGTTATACGCGTATGTTTGATGTTGCCTTGGTTCTTTTTGAATGCTCTGTTTTCCTTTGTTTTTCTTTCGTTATAACAGACACACACATAATCGTCTTATGGAACTGGGAGGACTGCCCAGTCCCTCCTAGTGTCCCTCTCGTTTCTGTTCGTCATGCTGTCGAAGATGCTCTTGAGCTTATGGGCTTTCATGGGCCCGCGCAAATCTTTGGGTATGGTGAGCGACCGAAGTGCGACGCAGATGGGTGGCAGGACTGCAGACTCTTATCCGCACTAGAAAGTAAATTCCTATACTCATAATTAACACTCTGTGTCGTTTCTACTTATTATTATTATTTTATATCTGTAATCGACATCTTTGTTTGTTGAGTTTTCTGATATAGCCACTTCAGGGGCTGATTTCAGATTACCTTTCGATATGATTTTGCGAGCATCGAGTAATCATGGTCAATCAGCAGTTATTTTGGTAATCGCGAAACGTAGTAGCGAGTTGCTTAGGGTTCAGCAGTGTTTGAAATCGAGAAAACACACTCTTCTCGTCCAAGTTGATGACACCGCACAAGAAAATCTACTTCTTTCTGCAGATTCAGTACTTGACGGTACACAGCTTCTTGGTGGAGGAAAGCCTAGAAGCCAGTATGGCTTTTTTTGTCGTCGTCGTCCTTATTTTGACAAGGATTTGGCCGGTAACATTCCGAAATTGTTTTTCTGAGTTTAGATTATTTCATGGTTAATCTTTCATATCGTAACTCGTTTTATGCCTTGCAGAGCGTACCCAAGAATCAAAGAATGCATTCGATATCTACAAGATGGAAGATTTCTCAGAGCTTCTCACGCTCGTCGAAGGGGATAAGACAGCGGGACGTCGAGGGTTGCCCATTCCCTCTTGGCTCCAATCCTGATGAGATCCATCGCAGAAGGGGTTTTAATGGTGAGATATATATCTGGGCTTATGTTCATGAGAATAACATAAACCCAGATATGTTATTCATATAAGGAAAGGGTATATAGAATCATATAAAGAAAGGATCTACTTGTATATTACTTTAACCTACACTACCTTTGTATATATATGTAATCTCATTACTCTAATAAGATACATTCAGAACTTACATGGTAGCTGTCCGATCCATAAACCTAATTTTTTTTTCCAACCTCAAAATCGCCACCACCATGACTGAAATATCCTCTGCAAACATGACCGAAACACTTCAACTCAACTCCAACACCATTTTCCATGTAAACATGTCCAACGTCACAAAGCTTACCACCACAAACTACTTAATGTGGAGTTTCCAGGTTCATGCTCTGCTCGATGGCCATGCTCTAGCTGGTCATCTCGACGGATCAGTTGAAATCCCATCTCCAACGCTTACAGTTGGTGAACTCACCACTCCAAATCCGGTGTACGTTTCATGGAAACGACAAGATCAAATTATTTACAGTGCACTTCTTGGAACTATCACCACCCCGCTCTAACCATTGGTGTCTCGTGCGACTGACTCCTCCCAGATCTGGTCCACACTTGCCTCCACGTATGCTAAGCTAAGCCGTGGACACATGAAGCAACTGAAAACTCAACTCAAGTCCTGCACCAAAGAAAACAAAACCGTTGATGAATATCTCCAAGATATCACTACAAAACTAAATCAACTTGCAATTCTCGGTAAAAAAATGGATCATGAAGATCAAATAGAGATAATACTCGAAGGTTTGCCAGAAGACTACAAACCAGTTGTTGATCAAATCGAAGGAAAAAACTCACCTCCGACGATCACTGAAGTTCACGAGCGACTACTCAATCACAAAGCGAAACTCCTCTCTGCCATCTCCGTTGTTCCTCCTGCAGTACTTGTATCTGCCAATGTCGTGCAACATTGTCAACACAACAATAATTATAACAACAGTCGCAACCATAATAACAACAACAACTACAAGCGTTTTAACAACAACTGGCAGCCACAACAGTATGGAAACAGATCCGACAATCGCAATCCACGACCATACTTTGGAAAATGTCAGATTTGCAACACTCAAGGACACAGTGCTCGAAGGTGTCCTCAGTTTCAAGCAATGCAGTCTCCAATGACCCAGTCAACCCCATATACACCATGGCAGCCTAGAGCTAATCTTGCAGTCGGATCTCCATACACGGCTTCGAACTGGCTCTTGGACAGTGGTGCTACTCACCACATCACGTCGGACTTAAACAACATCGCCCTCCATCAACCATACAATAGAGGAGAGGATGTGATGATAGCAGATGGCACGAACCTTGCCATCACTCATACGGGTTCCACTTCGATACTTTCTCCTACTCGTGACTTACTGCTGCATAAGATACTATGTGTACCTGACATAAACAAGAATTTTATATCTGTTTATCGTCTATGCAACTCTAACAATGTCTCCGTTGAATTTTTCCCTGCCTCCTTCCAGGTGAAAGATCTGAAGTCGGAAGTCCCGTTGCTCCAAGACCACACTAGGAACGAACTCTATGAATGGCCAATATTCTCGAATAAAGCTGTCTCTCTGTTTGCAGCGCCTGGATCCAGAACGACTCTATCTTTGTGGCACTCGCGTCTGGGACATCCATCACTCTCTATTTTAAACTCCACTGTTTCGCAATTTTCAATTCCAGTTTCTTCAACTCGTCATGAACTCTTGTCTTGCACCAACTGTCTTTTGAATAAGAGCCACAAACTCCTGTTCTCTCAATCATCTATCCTCTGAAATAAACCACTTCGGTATATTTACACAGATGTTTGGTCTTCTCCCATCCTCTCCCTCGATAACCACAAATACTACCTTATTTTCGTTGATCACTTCACCCGTTATACCTGGCTTTACCCACTGAAACACAAATCCGATGTCAAGGCAATATTCATGGCGTTTAAACCTCTAGTTGAGAACCGATTCCACCAGAAGATTGGTACACTCTACTCCGATAATGGGGGCGAGTTCATAGCGTTACGTGGTTACCTTGCGCAACATGGCATCAGTCACCTCACTTCTCCGCCCCATACTCCTGAGCATAACGGTATGGCGGAGCGCAAGCACATACATATTGTCGAGACAGGGATGACACTTCTGTCCACTGCATCAGTTCCGCTGAAATACTGGCCATACAGGTTCTCCACTGCCGTCTATTTGATCAATCGATGTGCCAACACCAGTCCTCTCTCTTGATTCACCATTCCAGCGGCAATTTGGTGTTACTCCCAACTACAACAAGCTTCGAGTATTTGGATCTCTGTGCTTCCCCCATATACTCGTCACAAGCTCGAGGCGAGGTCTCTGCCATGTGCTTTCATCGGCTACTCACTCACACAAAGCACCTACTATTGCCTTTACATACCATCAAATCGAGTTTACACATCACGCTATGTTCAGTTTGTGGAACACCAATTCCCCTTTTCAAACTCGCCATCCTCGCCGATTGAAGACGAGCCCTCTAATGACATTGTGCCAGCCATCTTAAGAGTACTTCCAGTGCGGCTCCCTCCGGCAAACAACCCCCGTTCAGATCCTCACCAGCAACAACCACCACCCACCGTCGCAAACAACGACACTCAGGTATTGCTCTCTAACCCTACATCTCAATCATCAATCGAGCCCACTGCTCACAATGAAAATGGGCCACAAATACCCATGGCCCAGCCAAACCCTCTTTCCACTGAGCCCACTGCTCATACTGAAAATGGGCATCAACTCCAGACCCAGTAGATCAACCCAATAATCAAACCACAAATAACCCACCATCTCATCTCTATTGTTCGAGACCCCTCATCACCTACAAACGCAGAAACACCAAAACCACAAAGAAAACAAAAATTCCCCCACGCCCGAGCATCCACAAAATGAATACCCGAGCTAAAAAAACATCACCAAACCCGTTGATCACCTAACTCTTCATGTCTCCACCACAAAAAATACTAACCGTGAACCACTAACTGTCTCGCAAGCTTTGCAGGATGAATTCTGGCGAAAAGCAATGTCAAGCGAGTATAATGCTCAGATCGGGAATCACTCGTGGAATCTCGTTCCGGCGTCACCAGGCCAAAACGTTGTTGGCTGCAAGTGGGTCTTCACGCACAAATATCACCCTGATGGCACACTTCAGCGACACAAAGCACGACTTGTTACGAAGGACTTCCATCAACGATACGGAGTCAACTATTTTGAGACGTTTAGCCCGGTGATCAAGTCAACCACCATACGCTTAGTCCTTGAAGTTGCTGTCACCAAATCGTGGCCCATCAAGCAGCTAGATGTAAACAATGCCTTCTTACAAGGAGAACTCACTGAAGAAGTTTACATGACACAACCTTCGGGGTTCGTAGACAAGAACAGACCAACACATGTGTGTCGGTTGCTAAAACCAATCTATGGCCTCAAACAGGCTCCACGGGCATGGTACGACTTCCTCAAACAACATCTCCTTACCTCTGACTTCACTAATTCGCTTGCTGATGTCTCTCTGTTCATCAGATACGATGGATTCTCCATCATGTATATACTTGTATACGTCGATGATATTCTCCACCAACATCATCTCTGAAGTTCTCCAAGCCTTCTCCGCTCGCTTCTCTATCAAGGATCCAGCAGACTTTCACTACCTCTTTGGAATTGAGGCAACCCGAAGCTCTGCAAGGCCTCCATCTTATGCAACGCAAGTACGTTCTCGATCTTCTTGCAAAGACAAACATGATGGATGCTAAAGCCGTCTCAACTCCTCTCCATGCATCTCCGAAGCTCACGCTCAATGGTGGTGTTCCACTCACCGATGCGACTGAATACTGCTCCGTCGTTGGCAGTCTCCAATATCTGGCCTTCACCCGCCCAGATATCTCTTACGCTGTTAGCCGCCTCTCATAGTTTATGCACAAGCCAACGACTGATCATTGGCAAGGAGTAAAATGTGTTCTCCGATACCTTGCTGGAACCACTACAACTGGGATCTTCCTTCACGCTAATTCGCCTCTCACGTTACATGCGTACTCTGACGCCGATTGGGCTAGAGACACGGATGATTACGTCTCAACGAATGCCTATGTTTTCTACATCGGCAAGAATCCCATATCATGGTATTCGAAGAAACGGAATGGAATCGCTCGGTCTTCAACAGAAGCAGAATATCGTTCTGTAGCAAACACATCTTCTGAGGTTTGATGGATCTGTTTTCTCCTTACAGAACTTGGCATCCAAATCCCTTCAATGCCGACAATCTACTGCGACAATATAGGGGCTACGTACTTATGCGCAAACCCAGTATTTCACTCGAGGATGAAACACATCGCCATTAACTACCATTTCATCAGAAACCAAATCCAGGCGGGTCTTCTACGAGTCTCTCATGTATCTACTAAGGATCAGCTCGCTGATTCACTTATTAAACCACTCCTTCGTCAACAGTTTCAAACAGCATGTCTCAAGATTAGAGTAACAAGAGTCCCTCCATCTTGAGGGAGCGTATGAAGAGTATATAGAATCATATAAGGAAAGGGTCTAGTTGTACATTACTTTAACATACACTAGCTTTGTATATATATGTAATCTCATTACTCTAATAAGATACATTCAGAACTTACAGTGAGTATCTGCGTAACAAGACGTGGGATTCAAGAATCTACTTTCTTCCAGAGGGGATAAAGCCTCGAGACATCAAAGAATGCAAAATGACATTCTTTTATTGGAAATAGACTCTCACTGAGCCCGTACTTATCCAGCAGATGTGATTGTAGTCTCACATCAAGTTTGACACCTTCTTCAAAACGCTTGATTGTTTGAGTCTGAGATGTCGCAATGTTTTCTTAATAACTCCGACTCAGGACGTCATCAAACCAGAAAGTCCTGAATGGCTAGCCTTGCTATTACATGAGGCACACGATTTTGGTTCCAAAAGAAGACGCTCAAGGCTCAAGCTCAAACTCACTCTGCCGAAGAAACACCTGCGGAGATGAAATTATGTTTACGAGCTAGCTTGTGTTCGTAGCTGTGGATGTGCCCGTTTTGCTTGCGTGGTATGCGTCACAAAGTCTACGGATGAGATGGTTGATGTTGTTGTATTGTTTTCCTTTTTTCTGATCTGTAAACCTATATTATAACTCAAACATTGATTGATTAATATAAAGTAACACAATAGACAAGGGAAATCTGTGAAGTCTCACAACCTCCTGAATGAACTTCTGTGCCACTTCTGCTGCCGTAAAGGGATGCTTTAACTTGATAAAGTGAGCATATTTAGTCAGCATGTTGATAACCACAAAAATGACATTAGCTCCAAGAGACAACGGTTACCCCTCAATAAAATTCATCAAAATCGCTTCCCAAATCTTATCTGTATTGGAAATGGTTGCAACAAACCCATCGGAGACAAAGTCGAGTATTTATGTCGTTTATAAACATCAAACTCTGCCACATACTGCTGAATAGACATTGTCATCTTTCGCCAATAAAACAGATTCTTTACTCTGCGAAGAGTTTTCAAAACACCTGAGTGACCACCCATTAAACCATTGTGATACTCTTGCAAAATCTTCGAAATGAGCTCGAGGTTTCTAGGAATTACTAATCTGTCTTTGTACATTAGCTGTCCTTTCACCACTGAATATCCGTGTTTTTCCTCAGAACCCTTTTCAACCGGTTTACGCAACTCCTGTATTTTCTTGTTCCTCTCAATGTCTTGGAGAATTTCTTGACATTGTAAGCTTGTTGGAATGGATAAAGCAAACAACTCTAAAGCGTGTATGCTTGTTTTCTCTCGTACAATTCGCGACAACCCATCAGCGGCTTTATTTTCCAATCCCGGTTTATACACAATATCAAAGTCATACCCCAACAGTTTCGCAAGCCATTTATGATACTCTAAAGAAACCTCACTCTGTTCCAATAGAAACTTCAAGCTTTTCTGGTCAGTGTGGACTATGAATATTCTTCCCAACAGATAATGTCTCCACTTCTGAATTTCCAACACAAGAGCCATCAGTTCTCGCTCATATATTGGTCTTACTTGATCCATGTTAGTCAAACCCGAACTGAAATAAGCTATTGGTCTCTGCTATTACATCAAAACCTCTCATAATCTATAACCTGATGCATCATATTCCAGAATGAAAGTTTTTTCAAAGTTAGGCAAAGCCAACACTGGGGCTGTGAGCATCGCTTCTTTTGATCCCTCAAAAGATTCTTGAGTGCATTCTGTCCACTCAAACTGATCCCTCTTAAGTAACTCCGTTAATGGACAAGCAATAGTTCTATTGCCTTAAACAAACTTTCTGTAATACCCTGTCAATCCCAAAAATCCCCTTAACTCCTTCACTGTCTTTGGAACAGGCCACTTCTTCATCGCCTCTGTCTTAGCTGGGTTAGTAGCAACTCCTTCCTTTGAGATAACATGACCTAGATAATCCACTAAGGCTTGACCAAATGAACATTTCTTCTTATTTGCAAACAGTTTGTGTTCCACAAAATCTTAGGTGTTGACGATGGGTTTCCAGTGATCAGTTGAAAAACAAAAATATCATCGAAGAATACCAAAATGAAACGACTTAAGAACGGTCTGAACAGCTCATTCATTAGGGCTTCAAACGTTGCTGGAGCATTAATGAGAACAAAGGGCATAACCAGAAATTCATAATGGCCATTCATAGTTCTGAATGTTGTCTTCTCAATGTCTTGCTCAAGCATTCTTATTTGATGATAACCTGACCTCAAATACAGCTTGGAAAAGATTTGCGCTCCATTAAGCTCATCCAGAAGCTGATCAATGACCGAGATAGGAAACTTGTCAAGTATTGTCACCTTGTTTGAAGCTCTATAATCGATGCAAAAAACCTCCAACTTGCATCTTTTTTTTTCACTAGTAACATCAGACTAGAGTAGAGTCTTCGACTTAGCCTAATCATGCTTGCTTCCAGAATTTGAGTAACCAGTTTCTCCATCTCCTATTTGTAGGCGTGAGGGTAACGATAAGGACCAATAACCGGATTGAGCATCTCCGTTTTATTCTTTTAGATGATAACATTTTGAGTTATGCAGAATCTCCCTGAAATTGCCAAGGTTTCAATAAAGATGATAAAACAATGTTTTAATATTGACAAGAAGAAGGATGAAAACGAATTCATATATAACTAGATTGTAACACAATCAATGATCTCTGTTATATAAGTGAAGTCTATGTACAAAAAAACCTAAAGTGTGTTGTTATTAAACTTAAGAAAAGCTGAAAGAGGAGTAGCTGCTTCTCATACTCGTCGCTCCATGTCACCACGTCGCTTTAAAAGTATCATTCCCTCACGAGCTAATGTCCCTTCAAGATCACCTATGCTTCGAGATATCCTAACCTCAAGCCCTCTCTGCACTTCCTGAAACAGACTTTTGATGCTTTCTGCAAAACGTTCTGGATCAAAGCTGCTACTAGAAGTGGAGGTTTCAGTAGTGATCAAGCCTACTACTAGAGCCTCGACAAAGCCAGAAGCGATCTTCGATTGTATTTCCATCAGTTTCTGTCCTGTTGCCACTATGTATCTTTGGAGCTGAAATGTCTCATCTAAGAAATGCTCTAGTGATGTTTTGGCTTCCCCATTTGCTTTCGTTTTGCCGCTAATCTTCTCTGCATCATTCGCATGCTATAGATAAACGTTTTTAACGAAAAGAATCAGTTTATGTTATCATAGACAGTAAATGTAATTGATATTAGCAAATGTTTGCTTACCATTCTTTTGCATAAGTCATCAATCTTCTCTTGTAGTGATTGATACCTAGTAACTTGTTTGTTGAGCAATGTAATGAGCAATAACAAAGCCCTTTTCCCTGTATCATTGCTGCTTTTGTCAATCTCTTGGCTCTCTTGTTTCCCGATATATCTCTCAAGCATCATTAGTTGTTGTTTCAGCCTTTTGATCTTGAATGAAACTCCAAGAGCATGAAGATCCATTCTCCATGGTGGATTGCTTGCGCTTGATGGCTTTTCCAGGCTCTCACTCTCCTTACCATCTGCTTTTTCTCTTTTGGTAAACTCATGACTTTCCTTTTCAGATTCTTCTTCTGCATCAGATTGAGCAGCTTTCAAAGTTAAATGTCTCAGTTCATCAGGAGAGTATGATTCCCTTCCTTTATCGGTCGTATTTTCCTGAGAATCTTTTTCGCTTTCTCGCTGTTCTGTTTTTGTGTTCTTTCCTCTATAGCTCTTGTGGGACACCAAGCTTCTTAGCTGTGTCTTGAGTTGCTGTTTCTTTAAGGAAACCGATTCTTCACCTCTTGGACTTACCATGCTTTGGAGTTTTGTGTTATTGTGTCTCAACTGTGACATTTCTTGGCTCAGTCCTTCAATACAAGATCTCAACCGCTTTGATTCTAACTCAGAGTTCATCAGATGCAAACACAAAGCTTCAACCTTTTCATCTTTTAGCTTCACATGCTCTGTAAATTCCCCTATCTCTATCTCTTGCTTCTTCCCTATCACTCTAATACAAAGCTCTTCCTCTCCAAAACTCAAATTCTCACGCTTCTTTACGAATCCGTCGATTCCTTCAAAATGCACCAATGGAGATTCAGAATCAATTGTTTAAATTTGAGACAGAAACTTAAAATGAAACTTGACTTACCTAATTCACTGAGATCACCAATAGAGTGGGAATCCATGATTTCCGGGACTACATCAGGATCTTTGTTCAATTCCAAATGTTCAATGTGAGTAGTGTAATCAACACTGTTGGGTTTAGTCTTGCTTGTGGCTTCAAAAGCAAACATGCTTCTTAGTGACCGTCTCTCGTTTTTTCTTGATTTTGAGTTCGATCTCCATTTCTTTGCTTCATCTTCATCTTGCTTCGTTTTGGCCTCCTTAAGCAATAATGTCTGCTTCTCGGTCATCTCCAGTTTCGACTTCTTCAACATCATCGCCAAGATTCGATCTTTCTGTTCCAAATCTTTTCGCAACTTACCCATCTCTAATGACAAGTCTTCAAGTTCGTATCTTTTAGCCTCGATTTGCTTATTCGCACGACTCAATTCAGCTTCGAGCTGTCTCTGGCTAGAAGCAAGCTCAAGGAATGTCTTCTTTTGCCTCCATAGCTCAGACGAATGTTCTTGCACATCTCTCTCTTGTGCTTCCCTCAAATCTTGAACTTCCTTTTCTGCCTTGACCAGCTTTTCCTCTAACTCTTCGCCTTTACGCTTCTCTTCTTCTATAGCCGTATCTTTAGATTGCACTAAACCTTCCTTTTCTTTTAATCTTTCTTGCAACTCCGATAAGCTTTTTCTCTTCCTCTTCTCCATGTTCCTTAGCTCTCTCATCAGTGCTTCAATCTGCAGCCTTAATCTGTACTTCTCCTTTAACCAAATCTGTTTCTGAGACGCGATTATGCTAACTACCTTCTCGTTAGCTTTTGCATCTTCGTTTCTCACTTTCTTCAACTCTGTAATTTCACTATTAGCATCCTCAAGCCTCTGAAGAAGCTTATCCTTCTCTTCATCAAAGATTCTCATAATCAGCAAACCGAATAGCATCATTTTGCTACTCATCTCACTCTGTTTCTCCTCTCCCATGTACATGATGGTTACTCTTAAAAAAACCACAGAGCAACAACAAAACCAATCTTTATAGAGATGACAAAATCTGAATCTCAGGATGCATTTTGCCTATTATTATCCATCTGAGAGGAATAAAAAAATCCCAAAAAAATCTCTTATCAGTGTGAAATCTAATTATCCCAAGCAATAGAACATAATCAAATTCAAGAACCAAAAGGATTACCAAAAGAAAGAAAATAAATTCAGAGAAGAAGATGACTGAGATCTTACGCAAGGTTTAAACAAAGGTTGAGTGAAACTGCAAGTCTAAGCACAAGAAAACTGCAAAATACATGTGGTGTGGCATGTTATATTGTTGGGTGGGAGTTACATAAGCTTTTTGTTTTCCAGATTGTAATGGCAGAGGAATAAAGTTTGGTGAATAAAATATGTGACACACATGTAAAAACACTTTCAGAAGAATCATGTAATGTAGATCATCCTTACAGATAGATAAAGCAAGAAATGTATGCTTCTCCTGGTTTTTCTGTTTACACAAGGCCCCTTACTGAGTCCCCACTTGCTCTTACTTTTTCATTCCAATAATTTGTTTTTTTTGTTCTAACATTTAATTTCTCTAACCATTGCTTGTAATGGGGAGCAAGATTCAAACTAGATTCCTCCTTCTTTCTCACCATTAATAATTGAGATATATAGCTTAAGATCCATCTTATTTACTGAGAAAATTCAAAATCAGATTGTTACTAATGCTGTAGTTTTGAATAGAAGGATAACAATTGAAAACCAGAAATAGAAAAAAGAGTTTCTATCTTTTTTTCCTTAGGTAAATACTGTTTCTGAGACATAAATACTCTTCATCAAGCTGTTATGAATTGATTGATGGTTTAGAAATAAAACAATTTTAATACCACAAAAGTTTTAGAGATATTAAAAAGTGGACCAAGAAAATTCAATCATTCCACTTCACTATCAACAATAACACCTTTAGAGTTTTGTAATTTACATATGAAATCCTGGATTTTTCTTCTTTTTCTTTTAATGAAAAAGCCTTTGTTGAGGCATTATTGCAAACAACTTGAGAACCAACTCATTCATGCGCAAGAAAAACAACAACCAATCACATTAATTCCACATTTTAAACCTTTTTATCCAAATCAAATACTGAAAACTGAAAACAAACTTTCAATACATACATTTAAATCAAGAAGCATTCACTTTTCAAAAAATGAAATTCCAGATTAAAAATCAGTGTAAGGATTAAGACTGAAGTACCTGTAAGCAAAGTGTTAAAATCAGAGAGGAAGGAATGGTGAGGAAGAAGAAAGACATTGTTTAGATCAAAGATCATCATGATGAAGACAACTAAGTAGTAATACGAAGCTTCTCTCTCTTGGGATCTTTATTCGAGAACCAATCAAGCTTTTTATTTTCCCCTTTTGATGAAATCTGTAAAGCTGGGAACTTTGTTTGATTAAAAAATGGAACTGAATTTGAAGTAAACATTTTATAGCAAAAGGAATATACATTAAATTTTACTGGCCGTCCATTTATAAATCATGAAATATAAGCGGCAACAAACCAATCACGTGCGGTTTTACGCTATACCCGCCCGTACCTGATCATTGAACTGGAATTTTCCAGCTGAGTCGGTTTAAGGTTTGTCCACAGATCTAACGGCTGATATTAATTATGACTATCATCTCCACTTGACGTGGGATGATCTCATCCCGTCATCCGTGTTTAGAAATGCTCTTCGCTTTTACATTTTCTCGTTAATTCGTTTCAGATTTCGAATCGAACCCTAAAGTTTTTTTCTCAGATTGAAATTTTAGTTGGTAAATGGGTGGTTTGGCTATGAAGGAAATGCCTTTATCGGCGTTGTTCGAGCAAGCAAGGAAAATTCTGATAGAATTCAAGTTCTATCAAAACCAATTAGAATTAGTAACAAGAGAAATAAAGAGATTAGAGGAGAAACAGAGGAATATGAGATGAGGAGAGAAAGAAAGAGGAAGAAGATAACGGCTGATTTAGAGACGCCACTCTCGTTCTTAGATTGATCAATAATGTGATATCGTTTTCAAAGACAAAGCAACATACTGTACAGATAGAAAACAAACAATGGCATAAAACGTATATAAGCATGGATAATATATTTGGGCTTCAATCTTCTTAGGCCCAAACCCAAGATCGTATCAAATTCATCAGGTGGGGAGCTTCTATCTTATTACATACGAATTCGATCTTGGCATTTTAGTAACTGGACTGGGGTTGCCTTTCAGACTTTGTAATGTTAACCGGTGTTGGATACAGAAATCCACACAAAAAAATTTATGTATTTTGTAAGGAAAGAAACTTAGAAGAATTGAGGGCTAGATTCTCTCGAACAGATTGACAATATAAGCTAGCATTAACTAAAATAAGGATTTGGTATTAATCGGTTGAATGAAACGGTTACAAAAGATTTTAGTGTAGAAGATGAATTCAAAGAGCTCTGATAGCAGTTACAGAGTTTCTAAGTGTAAAAGTGTGTAAGAAGATCAAGCCGAAGGTCCCCTCGCGAAGTCGGAGAGCTCTCCTAAACTTGGCAGTTTGTGTCCTTTAAATAGCTTGTCTCGTCGAGCTTCAACCTCCAACGCGTATCTCGGCCACGTGCAGCAGCTTCAGCCGGAAGTCTCGGCCACGTGCAGCAGCTTCAGCCATAAATCTCGGCCACGTGCAGCAGCTTCTCCCGGAAATCTTGGGCTCGTTTGAACTAGTGAGAATATGCTCTGATTTGGTCCAGATTCTTCCTTATCCTTGGGGACGAGGTCGACCTCGACCTCGACGAACGGAACACTGATTGTCAGGTTTGGACCATTGTGAGTGATTGGACCAGGGCCGTATGGATGAGGCCCAGTCAACTGCACTTAGTTTTAAGATATTGTTGTTGGGCTTAAGTGGGCCGGATTTGAGGTGATAAATCCTGCTCCAACAATTGCCCCTCAGCCCATTAACGAGAACGAGTTCGAGCTTTAATGGGCGGCGAGTGGTTTCTTTCTAGAAGATTTTGTATCTCACGTGTTGTCGCCATGATAGTAAGTAATCATTAAGCATCAACGGTCGAGGCTACGAGAGATAAAGGATCCATCGGATCATACGGTCGAGGTCTTTCTCCAAGATCGTAGCTCGAACGACAAGATCCGGTGGCTGTTATCCTTTGCTTCGAACTTATCTTAGCTCGAAAGGGCTTTATTTTGGAAGAATTCGGGCGTTGGTGCCTTTGAATCATTTCCACCTCTTTCTTTCGGTTGTTCGAGTTGAACTTTTGCCTAGTCATTTGTTGACTTAAGAGAGCTGGACCGAGATCGTTAAGCTTGCAGCTTGATTCTTTGGTTCGTAAGCTCGCCAGATCGGATGAAATGATCTAGTAGCAGAGCGCGATCCATTCCTTCTTTGAAATGCGGCTAAGTGTTTTAGCTCGACTTTGGACTAAGTTGATTTCCTTAGGAAAGAAGGAAGGTCGAACTGCTTCACGATGGAGTTTTCGCATTCGAGGTAGGGTTTTTCTAAGTTGTTTGGTAACTTAGGGAAACAGACTAGGGTTACCAAGCTCAAAGCTCATTTTGCTAGTCGTGAGCTGGAAGCTCAGTTTGCTAGTTGTGAGCTCGAAGCTCAGTTTGCTAGTTGTGAGCTCGAAGCTCAGTTTGCTGGTCGTGAGCTCAATGCTCGAGCCGTTAGCTGCGAGTTTGTTGCTCGATATATTAGACCGGATAGAACGATTAGGTCGTGGAATACGGCCCGTTTATTCTGAAAAAGTGGCTAAGTTTTTAGCTCGAATTTTGTTTAGGAAGGTCGAACTGCTTCGCGATGAAGTTTCGGTGTTCGAGGTGGAGTTTGTTTTCTTTTGAACAAGGAGTTTCTCAGTTTCGGCTTTGAGATGGAGAAGGGGGTTCGATTTTACTCTTAGTTTCCCGACATAGAGCTCTGTCGTTCCTCGTGAATTACGAGCCACGTTACAGCTTGATGATTCGAGGTCTGGAGCTTGGCTATGCTTGGAGTCGAGTTGTAAATCTGGCCACGCCTGTGAAGTGAAGAAGGGGATCGGGATTTACTTTTGTCATCCAGAGATAGAGCTCAGCGTACCAGGCGAACTGTGAACCGCGGAGGGCCTTTAGTTCGAGGTCTGGAGCTTGACTATGCTTGGAATCGAGTTGTAACCCCAATCGCGCCTATTGAGGTGGAGTCGAGCTCCTGATTTAGTTAGTTTACGAAATGAGAAGCGTGGGCTGTAGCTCGCTTGTAGCCGAGGTATGGGAGGGTGGGTGACCTTGATTCCAAGATCGAGCTACAGAGCTCGAGTTTGACAATGGATGCATTGTGTTTCAGCATATAAATGTATGACGAGGGTGGTCCGAACTGTTTTAGCTCGTGATCTCGGTTTGGACAATTATAATTGTTGCTCTTAAGGTTCATTACGTTCCAAGGTCTTATCTCGGGCAACCCGTTTACTTTTGTGGGCTTGTACCTTGCGCAGAAATAAGTCTCCTACGTTGAATCTCCAGTGTTTGACCTTAGAATTGTAGTAGCGAGCTGCAGCCTGCTGGTAGTTTTGGATCCTGATCAGTGCTTGATCTCGATGTTCGTCGATCAGATCGAGCTGGTCCCTTAAGAGCTGCTCGTTTAATTCGGTGTTCATCGGGCATTGAGTTCGACGAAGGCTGGGAACTGCAGTTTCGGTTGGGATCACAGCTTCCAGCTCGTAAGATAGTGAGAACGGTGTTTCACTGGTTGCTTTATGAGGTGTGGTTCGACAAGCCCAGAGGATGGCCGAGATGTGTTCATACCACCTCTCTTTTTTGGTGTTGAACCGTCTCTTGAGATTGCTCAAGATGGTTTTGTTTGTTACTTCGGCTTGCCTGTTTCCTTGGGGATAACGAGGTGTGGAGTAGGAGATTTTTATCTTCCACTTCACGCAGAAGTCTTTGAAATTTCGCGAGATGAACTGCGAACCGTTGTCTGTCATGATTTCATAAGGAAGTCTGTGACGGCAAATCACGTTTTTCCAGATGAAGCCGCGTACCTGGAGCTCGGTTGTTTGCTGATAAGCTTTAGCTTCTATCCACTTAGTGAAATAGTCGGTGAGCACCAGCAGGTACCTGAATTGCTTTGGTCCCGTGGGAACCATGATTCCTACTATGTACATTGACCATCTCATGAATGGATAGGGTGCGGAGATCGATGACAGTCTTTCTGCTGGACAATGTATGATTGGGGCACGCCTTTGACATTTGTCGCAGCTTTTGGATAGTCTTTGGCAGTCCGCTATCATGGTCGGCCAGAAATAGCCAAGTTTTTTAATTCGAATGACGAGCACTCGACCTCCAGCGTGACTTCCGCAAGGGCCTTGGTGAGTGTCGGACATTACGGTGTAGGCTTCCTCACCGTGTACGCACTTAAGGTAAGGTTCGGATAGATCTCGCTTGTATAGCTTGTTATTGAATAACACGCTGTAGCGGGCGCTTTTGATCTTGAACTTTCGAGCTTCCCACTTGCCGGGAGGAGCTATTCCATTTATGATGTACTCGAGGATGGGTATCCTCCAGTCCGCACTGGCGACGAACTCGTCTTTGAAGGTCGATTCGTCTGCGAGTGCAGTCACTACTGTGTGGATTGTTGATTCCTGAGTACTTTGTGAGGAGTTCGGGTTCGACTCCGCGACCTCTGGTGTAGGGTTAGCTGGCCCATCCTCGTCGGGATGACTGGCTGTGTTAGAAGGTCACGGGTCTTGGGATTGTTGTGTTTGCGATCGGGTTGATAGTCGCGTGGTGATTGCGTTCACAGTCGGAGTTTTGAGTGCTAGGTCTATGCTAGGTCTCTCAATGCCTTCGACTGGGATTATTCGCTTTATTGATGGGTCCGAGGTGGAAGCTAGAGCTGCCAAAGCGTCTGCTGCCGTGTTTTCTCCTCAGGGTATATGGACGAGCTCGAAACAAGTAAACTGTTCTGCGAGGCTGCGAACTATAGCCAAGTAGGCTTCCATGCGTTCTTCTCTTGTTTCGTACTCGCCACTGTAATGGCCGGTTACGAGTCTCAAGTCACTGTGAGTTTGATCTCGCTCGCACCGACGCCGATTGTGAGCCGGAGCCCGGCTATTAGTGCTTTGTACTCAGACTCGTTGTTAGACGAGGTGAATCCAAGACGAAAAGATTGTTCCATGACTTCTCCGGTTGGGGAGGTGAGCTGGACCTCGACTCCAGAGCCTTGTTTAGAGGATGCTCTGTCGACGTAGAGGGTCCAAGTTTTGGAGAATGGGTGTTCGGAGCTGGCTTATGGGGCTAGATCGACCATAAAGTCTGCCAGGACCTGGGCCTTAGCACATGTCCTGGAACGATATTCGATGTCGTACTCGCAAAGCTTAATGACCTGTTTTGCGAGGCGCCCCGACTGGCTGGGACTGTGATGTATAGTTCGCAATGGTTGCGAGGTCATTACCACGATTGAGTGTGACTGGAAGTAAGGTCGGAGCTTGCGAGCCGACATTACTACAGCTAGTGCTAGTTTTTCCATGGCTGGATACCTAGTCTCGGCGTCGATAAGCATTTTGCTTACGTAAAAAATTGGTTTTTGCTCATTGAGTTACTCCCGAACTAGCACACCACTTACTGCGGCTGGAGAGACCGCTGTATAAAGGTACAAGGGTTCTCCTTTGATGAGTTTAACAAGGATGGGGGGCTCAGTGAGGTAGGTTTTGAGTTGGGTTAGTGCCTTCTCGCATTTTTCGTCCCACTGGAATTTTTTGTTTCTTATGAGGAGCTGGTAGAATGGGAGACACTTGTCGGTTGACCGCGAGATGAACCGGTTGAGGGCTGCAACTCGGCCGGTCAAACTTTGCACTTCCCGAGTTATTTTGGGAGATGGCATTTCAAGGAAAGCCGTGATCTGTTTCGGGTTTGCTTCGATTCCTCGTTCGGTTACTAGGTAACTGAGGAATTCGCCTGAGGCGACTCCGAAGGTACATTTAGCTGGGTTGAGCTACATCTCATATTGGTTTAAGATTTTGAAGCATTCCCTGAGTTGTGCGACGTGGTCCGTGTCTCTTGCAGACTTGACCAGCAT